TACGGGCTTGTTGATCAGGCGCTTGAGCTTTACTTTAAGATGCAAAATGCTGGCGTGAGGCCAAATCAGTACACGTTCTCGATTTTGATGTCGCTCGTTTCGTCAAGTTGTCAAGGCAAGCAAATACATGGTGTGATGATTCAAAGTTGTGGACTGAGTTTATTTATACGGGCTTGTTGATCAGGCGCTTGAGCTTTACTTTAAGATGCAAAATGGTGGCGTGAGGCCAAATCAGTACACGTTCTCGATTTTGATGTCGCTTGTTTCGTCAAGTTGTCAAGGCAAGCAAATACATGGTGTGATGATTCAAAGTTGTGGACTGAGTTTATCGAATGTTGTGCTTGGAAATTCGTTGATTTCAATGTATGGAAAACTTGGTCTTGTTGATTATGCTTTTGGTGTGTTTTTAACCATGGCGAAGGTGGATGCTATCTCTTGGAACTCTTTAATTTGGGCCTGTTATAGATCAGGGTGTGCACAACTGGCACTAGATCAGTTCCGTTTGATGAGAGAGATAGAGCATTCACCGGATCAGTTTACAGTGTCAACGGTGCTTGGTGTTTGCTGTGACATGAGAGATTTGGAAAAGGGTAAGCAAATATTTGCTTTCTGCTTCAAGGTGGGATTTTTTTCTAATACAATTGTTTCGAGTGCGGCTATTGACCTACTTTCCAAATGCAACAGACTGGAGGATGCAGAGCGGGTCTTTAGCGATTTGAATCGATGGGATTCAGCTGTCTGCAATTCCATGATTTCAAGTTATGAGGGGAACGGTCTTGGGGAGAATGCAGCACAACTTTTTGTGTTGATGTTGAGAGAAAACATCAGGCCTACTGAATTCACATTCAGCAGTGTTCTTAGCTGTTTATCGGGCTCTCTTCCACCAGATCAGGGGAGTCAAATCCATTCTTTAATTGTTAGAACAGGTATGGATTCAGATTCAATAGTTGCTAGCTCACTTGTGCAAATGTATTCTAGTGTTGGAATGATTGACTATGCTATGAAAATTTTTGTCAATTTGGTTGAAAAAGATTTGGTGTCTTGGAACACCATAATATTTGGACTGACCTACAATGGCCGCGTATTTAAGGCCCTGGACATTTTTAAGGCACTAATTGACAAGGGTCCACTAGCAGATCGTATAACATTAACTGGGGTTCTGCTAGCTTGCAACTATGGAAATCTCGTTGATGAGGGAATGAGAATATTCTCATCTATGGAGAAGGAATATGGGATTTTACCGGGGGATGAGCATTATGTTTGTGTAGTGGATATGTTGAGTCAAGCAGGAAAGCTCAAAGCAGCAATGGATGTTATAGCATCAATGCCATATGAACTGAGTTTTGCACTATGGAGATCGGTTCTTCGTGGTTGTGCCGTTCACGGAGACTTGAAGCTTGCGGAAAGCGTAGCAGAAAGGATGATGGAGTTGGAGCCAAAGTCGTCTCTGCCTTATTTAGCGTTGGCTCGGGAATACGAAATGAGAGGCAGATGGGAAAGCGTGATACGAGTCAGGAATGCCATGAAACGTAGATGTGCGGACATTGAGTTGGTTGAATGTAGTTGGATTGGGTTAAGAAACCAAGTCTATGCTTTTGAGGCAGATCAATTGGTACATCATGGAGGTAGAGACATTTACACGGTGTTGAAATTGCTGTTTTGGGAAATGAAGATGGAAGGTTATGTATGAACAGTTCAAAATAGTGGAGGACATGAATAGAGGAAAATACAGGAAATCTGGATTATGTTCTATTCTTACCAATTATTTACTACATAATTTATACACATTTAGTTTATAAAATTCATGTTTTTGGAAAATTTCAGCTTTTCATATCAATATTTCTAGCTAGTAATCATATTATCTAGCTATATCCTAGTGTTTTTCTTAAGTTTTGTCGGGCAGGTCATAACAGATTCTTTTGGATTACACAGTATTGATATTAGTCGTCCTATTCTTGAATTAACACATTGCCTTTGCTTCACCTTCCCTCTAAAATGTCATAATAATCGCCTTAACGACGCATTGCATTTCCCCTGTTGCCACTTTAGATATTTGTTGGACATCCTTTCTCATTTTATCAAATCTTTTTGGAACAAAATTTTCTAAAGATCTACTTCCATTCAGAAGGACCGTTTTGATTAAACGACGACATCCAGTAGGTAACATTTTTTTGACAGACTGTCGTCTAAAATACACGAAAAAGGCTGCACGAACAATTTCCGCAATTTTGAAATTTTTACGCTTTATTAGACGACAGTTTTTGAGAAAGCATCTTTTATTTCTCAACTTCTGACGACATTTTCTCCTTACAAATAGATGGGAGTAGAAACAAGGGGCACTTCTAACGCGTTTCTATTACTCAAGGGGTAATATGAATGCTTTTAAATTGGATCTATTGAAGAGTACATCTTTATGAAAATTAATCATAATTTTTTTTTTCACGTTGTGACTAATGCCTTTCAAAAACTAATTAACAAAACTGTGAAACTGAACTAAAGGATATAATTTAAGGGGGGTGTTTATGAAATTCTTCTTCTTATTATTATTATTTTGAAAAGGATCTTAAAAATGAAGATTTACAAATTACTATATCAATATTAAAGGCAACTGTTGAAAAAATAGTACTTTTCGATGGTGCAACAAGTTGAAGCCTGTTACAGGTATGGTCAAAAAATATTTGGGGACATCACTAGTCACCATTAATTAATAATAGAAAATGTGCTCCGAGTCTCATATATAATAGAGTCTATCTTTTATTAATGGATGGTATTTAACATTATCAGTATTCTGATTGTACTTTATTTAATAAAATAATACGCGTGTAAGCTAGGTAAGCTTTAACCGTACTTGAGCTTTCTAATAAAGATACTCGTACATTTACGTACTGAACACTACAGAAAAATCGGGATAAGATCACAATTCAAAAAAATGGCTTAACTGAGGTCATGGTAAGATATCTTTCAGTAATAGTAGAACTTAAAAGAAAGAGTAAACATTGACCAAGTATCGAAGTAGTTTTCTCTAGAACAAAGAAGAGAAGGAGAATAGTTACGTACAAACAATAATTGATTCTAACTTGTAAGGTTTTGTTTACTATCAATCCATAATATAGAAAATTATTGATTCTAACTTGCACGTTATTTTCTTTATCTTATCCATAAACATGTCAAATTAAACTATTAATGCTTTCCGTACTTTTTATGTAATCCTTATTTTCATATCTTAAATTAATATGGTATCCGCATTTCTCTAAATTCGATATTTTCCTCTTCATCATTTTTTTATAAGTCTACATCACTATATATATGTATATATGTTTTTGAGAAGTAGAAGACGGAGGTGTTATTTTAATTAACCAACTTGAGAAATTGGGTATTCAACCATCAAAAGGAATATATTTCTATTGTTTCTCTCTTTTTTTTTTTTAAGAAAAAAATTATTTTGAAAGCCCTAGGATTTAATGTAGAAGATATTTCTTTTTAGTTGTTAGCCATTGCACGAGAAAACTAAAATTAATCTAAAGAAGCCTTCCCTCCAATTGGGTCTATATAAGGCACAAGCCACGTATTTCTTTTGATACCAAATAAAGAGGACAATTTCAAATTATGAATTAAAGAAATAGGTCAAATGCTTTATTATGATCATGAAATACTATATACTTTCGATAGTTTGTATCTTTTAACATATTTCTTTTGATACCAAATAAAGAGGACAATTTCATAAAAAAAAAAAAGGACAATTGCTTAGGAGATCTAATTCTAAACATTTATTGCTGGAAACTTAAAGTCCCGTTCACTTCGTTGATTCGAGTTTAGAATTTGAGTTGAGATGTGATTTTATGTGAGAGCTTTTTACTGTAGCAAAAAAGTTAGATGTGATTGTTTGTGAGAGCTTTTTACTGTAGAAAAACTCGAATTCTAAACTCGAATCAGCGAAGTGAACGGGGCCTTAACATATATCACGCAGAAATCACGTGGTAAACGTCATGCTGTCGAACGCAGGATGAGATCATCAGCAGTGACCACCTTAAAATTTGAGAAATAAATGTTGATTAATGATGATGTATTAATATATTATTGTGGCACATTCTCCTTCTAACTATTCATGTCTCGCAAAGTCTTCCTTCCTATTTCATATCCTATCAAATAGTGTAGACATATTTTTTTGAAACGGGACTCTCTGTAACGCGACATTATGGGGACGTTTGGAAGAGAGATTTGTGCTATGATTCGAATCATGGTTCGTGGCTCGCTACAGTATTTTTTTTCACAAAAAATACACGTAAAACGAGAATGATTTTGAATCATAATTATAAACGGGACTCTCTGTAACGCGACATTATGGGGACGTTTGGAAGAGAGATTCGTGCTATGATTCGAATCATGGTTCGTGACTCGCTACAGTATTTTTTTTCACAAAAAATACACGTAAAACGAGAATGATTTTGAATCATAATTATGAATCTATGAACCAAACGTCCCATAAAACTCCTCATGAAGTTGCAAAAACTTAAATAAAATTAAGAAAGAGAACAACACCATGCATGAGATGACCAATAACAATAAGCACGCATATGCATAATTCTTTTTTTATTATGAATATTAACATTGATATTAATATTAATGTTATTGTGATTGTATTCCGTATCAATGAAGTCTTTTTGTGGATAACTTGCACGCTATTTACTTAAATAACATATCAATATACATGAGAAAATTAAGAATAATGTTTTTTTCTATTTATTTTACAGTGATTTTAATTTTTTATATATTAAAAAGGACCACGTGATTTGGCCAAATTTGGAGTTTTCCTCGACATTATTATTTTCTTTGGTTGCTAAAGTCTCTACATGAGTTCCAGAGGCAAAAAAAAAAAAAAAAAGTAAAAAAGTCTCTACTTGAGTAATTGTATTTCTTGAGAGAATGGGTTTTCAACCATCAAAAGGAATTGCTACCATTAGATCCTTGGATTCAAAGTGTAGAAAAAATATTTCTTTTTAATTGTTGGTTCTCACACGAAACTAAATTACGGACCCATATTATGTACACACACACAAAACAAGGAAACATTTAAAATGTAATTCCTTAAAAATAATACCATACTTTGGAACCCGAATGAATAGAATATTTAGGAGATATAACTTCCAACATTTAAGTTTTGATGGATGACATACATCTAATGCAGAAATCACGTGGAACGCAGTTAAAGAATAAATTCTGTAAGACCTTCTCAAAATTAAGTTTTTTGTTCATTTTTCTGATCTTAGATTTAAATTAAAACAAATAATTTTGTTATTAATATCTCTAATAATTAAAATTTTTAGCTCAAATTCTTTTTAATCAATCAGCTTTAAATCAAATTTACAAACGTTTTAGAGGAGTTATTTTTCAAAATTCGAAAAGTAAAGGAAAAGAAATAGCAGAAGTTTGGAGAGAATTTCATTAACTTTTCCTTCTCAAGCGGTAAATTTTTAAGGAAAAATCAACATATATTGTATATAATTGCATGTCTTGATACTTATTATTTATCGCAGTTGCAATATAAAATAATTATTAATCTTCCAGTATTTTTGAAGACGCATTCATATATAGACGAACAACTTTCATATTTATAGTCCAACTTGCATGTGTATGCAACAAGTAACTTATAATTGCGTAGAAAGTGAAATATCTCCATATTATTTATGTTTAAAGTTGACTCAAAGTACTATATCTACATCATTAAAAACGAAGAAAACAGATAACACGCGGGGAAAATTTGTAATTTTTATGAAATATTTAAGTAACGACACACATGTGATTAATAAATACTTTTTTTTTTTTTTTTTTTTGCTGCGATCAATAAATACTATTAGCTAGATAAGAGGGTAAAAAAAAGGGCTGGTCGTCATCGAGTATTCAAAAAAATTAACATTGGAAAGATACTAAATATTATATGAATAAAAACATGTATGTGATTTTTACATAATAATATATTATTTGAAACAACATACAGAAAGGCGCACTATAGGGAAAAAAAACATATTTACAAAAAAAAAAAAAATGGTTACACAAATTGGAGAATTAGTGAAGAAGTAAAAAAAAAAAGAAAAAGAAAAAGAAAAAGAAAACAAACAAACAAAGAAACAACTAAGAAGTGCGAAAACAAAATCAAAAGCATGTCAAAAGGAACACAGAAATTGAAGTAAAATGAAAGGTGATATTTATTCTTTAAAGAAAAAAACGAACAAGGATGAAGAAACAAGGAGAGGGAGAGGGATCATAGTAGACCGTGCAACACGTTTTAAATTTGAGGAAAACAAAAAACAAAAAAAAAAAGCTCTTCAACATGATTTTCCCCAATGAAAATGTCAAATTACCTCAGAGCCCTTCGGGTGGTCCAACTCAGAGGTCAATCGGTCCTCAGTTATGTTGTGGAAAGTGATTGTTTCATCTAGAAGAAAGAATATATCTCACAACATTTTTGGGTATTATTGTCATCCTACATCAAAATTTAACAAAGTTATTGCCGGAGGTTTTGTCATAAAATATTTAAGTTAATAAATTGTATATCTCTTTGTAATTTATCTAGGCAAAATAAAGGGAATGATTGTACTTCTCCGAAATTTAAATGAGCAGTACCCAGTTAATAAAATTAAGAGTAATATTAGACTCGCCAAGTACTGTTTTAGCAACGATCAAGAGTGAGAAAAGTACTATCTGTGGTAATTTTGTATTCATTTACGAAATTTATTAGCAGTGAAATTCAAATATTAATTATTAACTCAAAACGTTACTAAAAAGGGTGATTTTAATTTTGATATATCATTTTGTCAATATACCAATAATGAACAGCACGTACGTACAAGTTTAATTAATTAAGAGTTGGTATATAATCTCCATACATTAAATTAGTCATGATCATTATCAACTAAAACATCATTATATGTACGTGTAATAACATGTATAGTTGGTCAATTCATCCGTCTATAAAAGTCACCTTAAAGAGCTCCAACCATCAATGCAAATCAATTAGCGCTTCTTTGCTTTCACAAAAACTCTGATCTATTGCAATTAATCTCTTCTTTCTCGCTCTTTTTTTTTTCCACCCGTGAAATGGCCAACAAAACGCTTAACAATGTTCCTTATGTGCCTAATTGCCTATCAGAAGCCATAAACAATATTGACTCCAACTCGTCCTCAATCATGACCATGCCTAGTGATGATTTGATTAGAGTTAATAAGCCTGTTGATGATGAGATAGTTCCCATCATTGACTACTCTATGCTCTTCTCTAATGATCCTGAGAAGCGCTCCAACTCCCTCCGTTACCTTAGCCATGTCTGTCAAGATTATGGCTTCTTCAACGTAGGGTCGACTTTCATTTTTTGTCTTTCCTTTCCTTTTACTTTTCTTTCTTTGTAGTATCCGCACCAGTTTGTGTCTTATTGAAATCACAGTCCCGTCCGTCGGGCTATATACTATTTTCTTTTCCTTTTATTATTATGTGTGAGAGAATCTATATATATATATATATTCATATTTTGAGGGATTAGTCTTATATTTAGAAGTTAAAATGTAACATGATACTATATATATATATATAAAGGATAAATGTCATGCTATAAAACGTCTTTAATTATGGTTAAGAAAACCACACATATTATATTGGAACGGACAATGAGTATACGAGCTCTCAAATTTCTTGCATGCAACTGTCAGTGTACATAGGGCAAAAAAGGATAACGAAGAGCTTGTAGACTATTGTTATACATATATATATATATATATATATATATATCTGTACGTGTTTGTTAATTGTTATCCTTACCTTCGTACCTTAGCCACAGTGTAGTGTTTTGCTATCTCCGGTTAATTTGAAGATAAATTATAACCTTATGACTAATTTTCCTGATTCAACATTCATTACAACAGAAAACAAGTCTCACAACCATATCATGATCGAAACAAGCACTTATATATACGTCCTTTGTTTTTTTTTTTTAAAGTAAATATGCTTTCCCTCTAAATATGCTTGTTTTTTGTTTTGTTTTGCTTTGTCTGTTTAGAAAAAATTTGATGTATGATATTTCTCCACTTCATGAAGGATATAATATATACGTACACAGACACAAAAACTGAAGGGTGTTCATGAACTTTGATGTATTTGCAGCTGGTAAATCACGGTGTGTCACATAGCGTTTTCGAGAATGTCCTCAAGGGAATTTCTGATTTCTTTGATCCAACGGACGTGGATGGCCGAAGACCGTACCAGGGAAAGAATCCAACGGATAGGATCAGATGGGGTTTGAGCTCTTCACTTGAGGAGAATAGGGAACATCTCAAGGTGGCTGTGCATCCTCAATTCCATTGCCCTCCTAAACCAGCCCATTTCAGGTGCTTTTCTTCATTTTAGACCACTCTCGTTTCTGTTTTTATCTTTGTCAGTTCCAGAACAACGCTAAACAAGTTGCGGACATGTTCCCTTTGTTAAGGAATCTAAGGAAGAACATAATAAATATAAGAAAAGGAGTATCAATGATTTCTTTTTTTATATATAGTATTTATTGATCACCTATATATAGGGAAGTGGTTGGTACAATTCACTTCTCTTTATAATGCTTACTAACTTTAGAATCATATGACTTTTTTTAATATATATTGCTTAAAGTTGTAAAGTATGACGAGACTACAAATAAATGTATTTTTTTTATTGTTATTCTATTTTTAAAGGGAAATAAAACTAAAGAGGAACTTTTCTTTCACAAAATTGTCATTCTTGAGTTGAAAGTTATAAACAAATGAATTAATAAGTGGAGATTATGAAAAAAAAAAAATATATATATATATATATATATTTCGTTTTCCTACTGATCATGATATAAGAAACTATCCCTAAGGTGATCTAAACGCAAGTGGCTGGTGCTGTAAACAGCGTGGCTTTAGAGGATTATTCAAAAAGACTACGAGAGGTGGAACTCGATTTGGCAAAAGCAATGTCAAGAGCATTGGGATTTGAAGAGTGCTACATAGAAAAGGCACTCAATCTCAAATCAGGATTTGATGTGTTTGTCACAAATCTTTACCCACCGAATTTCAAGTCCGAAGGCTCTATGGGTTTGGCTGATCATACTGATCCAGGCTTGTTTGTTTCTCTCATACAAGATGTTAATGGTGGCCTCCAAGTACTATCCCATGACGGGAAATGGGTCGATGTTAATATGCCCCCTAGTTCCATTTTCATAATCTTTTCAGATCATCTTGAGGTACTTGCATAGTGTTAAGTGTGAATATATATATATATATACGTGCATGCATGTATACGTGCATATATATAGTTAAGTACATACATGTATACGTGCATGCATGCATATACGTATTTTTAAAGTTAAGGCTAGTAGTGCTTTTCAAGAAAAAAAATATATATGTCTCCGTTAGTGATGTAATCATCACATTTGTAGCTGCTAGATAGCAAAAGTAGAATTTTGGAGTCCAATTCTTTTATTTATAATTTTGGTTTATTTATTTTTTTTCATATGACAGTTCTCATTTTCCGACATATGTGTATGTATTATATTTTATTAACAATAGATGGTAGTGCTTCTTGTTTAATTACTTTAAGATACACATATTATATTTTATTAATAATAAATGGTAGTGCTTCTTGTTTAATTACTTTAAGAAATATCTAGGGGATAAAACCATGATTAGGACATTAGTTCTATAGCATATAATTACAATCCTTTCTGAGTAGCTATTGCTTAAAATCAATGATATTCCATACATGTACAGATTCTTACAAATGGAAAGTGCAAAAGCACTGTTCACAGAGTGGTGGTGGGCGACAACAAAGTCAAGAGGATATCTGCATCGACACTTCACGGACCGTCGTTGGAGGCATTTGTGAAGCCAGCAATGGAGTTTCTGGACGATTGTCACCCGCCGGGATACCGTGGAATGACATACAAGCAGTACTTGGAAGCCACTGGGTTTCACGAGGTTGACGTCAAATCTTGCCTTCAACAAGTTCTTGTTCCCAACAACGACAAAAACAACTGTTATTTAGTAGACTAAATAACATATCATGTCTCAACTAAAATGTCATAAAAAAGAGGACACTGGAAAGTTACTCTGCGTACATGTGTGCGTATGTGTGTGATAGAGTGTGGATATATATATATATATATATATATATATATATGTATGTATTATTAAGAAGCTATTCCCGTGCAGTTATAATTTATGGGGCTTGTCTTAGTTCGTTTGTCTTCGGCATTTTTAGCCAATAAATAAAAATATTCAATGGCGGCCTCCGCTAGTCATGTTATCGATCAATAATATGTTGTATAATATTATAAGAATTAAATAAGAAGCAATCGTAAGGCTTGATCCATGTGTTGGATAGATCTATCAAGTACTACTATAGTTGATCTAGAAGATCTAAAATTAGTAGCTGCTCTGAATATATACATATATATAAATAAGTTTTCAATAGTTACGTCTCCATCAATAGTAAGATCAATATCTTACCGCTAATACGAATATATACATATATATAAATGAGTTTTCAATAGTTACGTCTCCATCAATAATAAGATCAATATCTTACCGCTAATACAATGATACCTATCGATGGATAAATATTAAAGTAACCATTAAAATTTATGTGGCTTTGAAAATATAACGTGAATATCCTGCTTAAAATATGGTTAAAGAAAAACATGTGTATTTTTTTTATTTTTTTTATTTTATTTTTATTTTTTATTTATTTTTTTTTAGCAATTAGCTAGCTATCATCCTAAAGTTGTTATATTTGTTCTCTAGAGCTCATGACCTATGAAAATTTGAGATCTATGACTCTTATCTTTTTTGTAAAGTATCTAAGACAAAAATGGGATTAGTACCTAAACCTACTTGGTGCTTTATGAAATGCTACATTTTATCAAATGCGTACTGTATATGTCTACGATATATGTACGGATTAGTGCGTGAGTATATGTGGTCAAGTTTTATAGCTATTTCACGCATGTATGTCTGCATTTCTCTCCCTTTAATATTGGCGTGGGTGTGAGTATTTACTAATAATAAGTTATTCCGTGCAGTAATTATTATGGGGCACGTCTAATTAATTAGTTCGCGCGTTTTTCTTTGGCTTTTCTCAGTCAACAAATAAAATATAAAAAATATTCGCCTGCTCTACTGTCATCGTCAATAATTATGTTGTATAATATTATAAGATCAAAATAAGAAGCAATTGGGTTTGTAATTCTAAATGGTTTGATCCATGTGTTGGACAGATCAATCAAACTATAGTAGTTGATATAGAAGAACTGATATTAGCTGTACTATGAGAATATTATATATATATATATATATATATATAAACGAGTTTACGTACAATGTTAATCTACTAAAAAGAAAATAGCTAAAAAAAACATGTGAATCTCATTTTTTACCAATTGGCTAGCTAGCATTCTAAGATTGTTGTTACATGTGTTTTCTAGAGCTCATGGCCTATAAAAGACTGAGATCCACGACTCTTTTTTTTTTTTTTTTGAAAGTATCTAATACAAAATGGGATAAGTACGTCAACATCCTTTGTGTTTTTATAAAATGCTTCATTTTATCTTGCGTTTTCAGGAATGCTACGATCATCTCTTGTTTTTTTTTTTTTTGTACTATTTATTCATTATTATATATTTTTTTCATTTCTAATAATATTGCGTCCTTTACGATCAAGTATTAGTAAAAGAAAGTATAGCCTCCTTGAGGTGCATTTCTTTCAATAAAAGGAAAGCATTTTATTGTAACAAATAGTTAAATGTGACTTTTTCTGATAGTTTTTATTATAATAAAATTTAAATTCTAAACTCGAATTGGTAAAATGAATGATACATAATCAATAATTAGACGTGACTATCTAATTATTAACTAGATGTGACTACATTAAAAAAAAAAAAAAAAAAAACCAGACGTGACTACTAAAGCCCACCCCACGTGCTTATTCATTTCGACCCATGATCAACTAGCTACATCATATCAATTTTTGAGATTTGAATTAAATATTTTCCAAAATTGATAGGCATGATATAGCATGGATGGGAAACATTATTAATAGTATATAGTATAAAAAGGATTTGACACCCATGTTCTTTTTTTCTATTATTTCTTGTGTTTCTTTAATAATATTATATCACGTTAATTAAAATATTTAAATAATATGAGTTTTTAGATGAATTAACATAACATTTTTATTAATATGATATGATTTATTAAAAGAACACGAAATAAGAGAATGCGATACAAAAATTCCTTATCCCAATGCCACGTCATCAAGTCATATATATCATGCACATACTTCCACAAACCATCCACAACGTGTGTTTCCCACGTTGCATTTTCTCTGTACAATCCTTAATAATTGACGTTTGATTCCGTACGTTTTTCTCGTGACTAGCTACTTATCCAAACTTTCTAATATAAATCACGTGAACATTGCATGTCCAACAAGAATATTTTGTATTTCTGTATATTGTTTTTCTCAGCCTTTTCTTTTTTCTTTTTTTTTTTTTTTGTTTCATTTTCCTTTCTTAATTTCTTTGGCTTGCCCATTTAACCATGGCTATGAGAAGAACTAGTATTTGGTATTTTCTGAGAAAGAAGTTGGATAGTTGTTTCGTAGTATTTCTTCCTTTCAGCACAATAAATCTGGTATTATAATTAGGCCACTTTATGATGATCACTGTTACGACTACAACTTCTCATGTGGAAAACCAAACGAAAAATATTTGAGGTTTTGCCGTGTCAAATCCACATTACAACTACATTCTCACTACGTTAACGACGACGAAGATAACAAGGTATGCTGTTTTCTGATTGTTAAATATTGAGCAAATTGATAATCAAATAATTGGCGTACAAAATCCTCTTTATATATATTATTTATATGTATGTGTGTATGTATATGTCTATCTATCATGTATGAACAATAATAATTCTGAAAAGAAAAAATCATCCTACCATCTTAGAGCACGTGATGTGCTTCCGGCCAAGTCTTAAGTACTCTTAACATAATCTGGTAAATTAAGAGATATAACAAACAAGAAAGCTAGTTGAAAATCTTCAAACTTACAATATTAAGGCACATCAGTTGCAAGGCCTTGATTTTTATAAGCAAAATAAGAAAGTAAATAATAATTTATATGTCTTGGTCATGTTGCAGGGCCTGGATTTCCCAGGAGGAAGGGTGACAATTACTTCTGAAATGAAATTTATTTCCGAGTCCGCCGCTAAAAGGGTTGCGTGTTATCGAGTTCTTGACGATGATGGGCAGCCAATCATGCAAAGCAGTGTTGAACAGGTACACAGGCTGATCAAAAGAAACCAACTTTTCTTAAGAGAGAAATAAATACTAAAAAAATTAAATTAACTTATTATAACCACCTTTCATAATGTGGACGCCTCACACATTACAATACATTTAATTTGGGAGTGACTCAATTTCTTTAATTTTTACTAATACACGTATAATGATGCATTACTAATAATAATGAATAACAGTGTTCATCAGAGTTCAAAACCTTGCCTGTTTTTTTTGTTTTTTTTTGTTTTTTTTTGTTGAATAAGCAAATCAACCTTGCTTTTAGTATGGCATAAATTCACTAAACATTATTTGAACGTTGCATATATAATCTAATAGGTGACTAAGGAATTAGCAGTGAAAATGTACAGCGACATGGTGAGAATTCAAGCGATGGATACAATATTGTATGAGGCGCAGAGGAAGGGACGAATTTCCTTCTACATCAACACAATGGGGGAAGAAGCTACCAACATTGGATCAGCAGCTGCTCTTACTTCACATGATATTGTTCTGCGTCAGGTCAAAACAAATAATATGCATATATATATGACAATCTTTGTTATAATCATAAATTTTCACCATGTCCAATGATGTATATACATATATATATATATATATATATATTCACCTAAAAGTTCAGAGTCATTAGAAGTTATTGGGAAGGGAGTCATATTTGATAAGTAAAAAGAAAAAAAAATAAAAACCTAAATGTTGTACTGAACGTTTATATATATATATGTGTGTGTGTGTGTGTATTTGTTGTAATATGGCAGTATAGGGAGCCTGGATTGCTATTGTGGAGAGGATTTACATTGCAAGAGTTTGCCAACCAATGCTTTGGAAACAAAGCTGATTATGGGAAAGGAAGACAAATGCCTATACATTAGGGTTCTAATAAGCACAATTACTTCACTGTCTCATCATCTCTTTCGCAAGTTGCATGTCTAATTTCACACACTGAGTATTAATTCTTTCCTGTTATTGCTATGATCTTTTTGCTCTTTCGCAATGGGTTCCTTTTAAAAATTCAAAGAGAATTCTATGACGGAGATATATATACGATAAATATCTACTGGAAATTAAGTCCTATATTTTTTCAATCCGCTAGACAATTAAAGAACTTGTGTTATCATTATGCGCCTTTATTGTGCTAGATTTAAAACGATCTAAACATGATCTAAACAAGATCAAAAACAATAATCTAGCTTAAAATTCAAAAATGCCACAAAAAATTTCTTAGTTGGGATTTAGGCATACCTCTTCCGGTGGGCAGCGGAATCCGCCAATGAGCCGGCCGGAGTGGGTGGAGGAGCTGCAAAGGAAGAATGGCAAGAGGTGCTCTTGAGCTCCTCTCTATCTCTCCCTGTCTCTCCCACGTTCCGGCACCGCACACACACCCCACACACCACAAAAAAAAAAAAAAAAAAAGAAGGGGGGCACCAAAAAATGGAGTAAATGAGATGGGGTGAGGATATTGGCTTTAACCAATATTCAATTAGAGAGAGTATTTGGCCCAATGGGCTGACCAAATATTATGAGATAGATGGAGTTCATATGCCTCAAGCGAGTTAATAAAACAAGTGTCCATCCCATAATGGACCAATATTCAACATACATGCATGTGTTAATTCATATTAACACAGTTGTTCATAAGATGCTTTAATTAATTACAGAGTGAATTATTATGATTATGGAAGTCCACATAAAAATATTCCAGACTCCCACTTGGACGACATAATCATAGA